CCCCCCCCCCCCCACACACACACACCCTTGTTTAATGCGGGGTTTTTAATAAATGCATAAATGCATAATGTGGTATAATAATGATGTCCACAGACTGATGTCAATATCTTGGATTGGGGAAGCTGTGGAGCTGTTACGTAAGTAAAATTTTATGCACTTCACTCACTGATGACTTCACTTCATAGTGATTTTGAAAGACTGAAGAAACATGGCGCGTCGCAAAGGTGCTAAAAATGATGCAGAAGAAGAAATGCGAAGAAAATACCGTCATTTGGTTGATGAAACGGATGATCCTGTTGAAAAGTTGCGGTATGCTTGCCTAGCACGAGGTTCGTCTGGTATTAAAGGATTAGGAAGGTAATGTGTGGTTTTGTAGCTGCTGTAAAATACTAAAATTGCGTGCAACTAACTGCTGGGAATGTTCTAAGATGATAAATATCATCTTTACTTTCAAATTAGGACCTTTCGGATTATGGATGACGACGGAAGCAAGTCTCTGAACTTTGAGGAATTTGAAAAAGGATTACACGACTATGGCGTAGGGATAGACAAGGAGGTAAGGTCTGAGCAAAGTCAACATAAAGCAGGTCGAAGATAATTGTCAAATATTTTATATTTGATTTTTAAGATGGCACAGCAAGCATTTGCAGCGTTTGATAAAGATGGCAGCGGATCTGTGGATGTTAACGAGTTCCTACTGGGATTAAGAGTAAGTTTAAAACTTTGCTAAAGCATTAAGCATAATTTCTGTGCCCTTTTGCCACAAAATTTATACGCCCTATTTTTCAAGCCGAATGCTCATTAACATTTCAAAAGATGTTGAACATCAAAAGATTTAATGGTTTATGTATTAGCGTGGTTTTCATTCAAGACGTTCCGCAACCATAATCTTTTAAAAATATTTCTAAACGTTGAGCCAGCGTGTATGCTGTATGAAATTCGTCCGTTTCTTAAAGTTTCTTAAAATGCAACAACAATATTATTTAAAGTTTAGTATTTAATAATTAATAAATATGAAGAGAGTTCTCGAATTTGTAAATGCAAAGTGGTTGGATAGTCATCTACTTAAAACCCTATCCAATGTTCGATCTTTGTTATGATAAGCTGGGGATAAAAGTTTTCCATTTTGGCCATGTAAATGAGTTTGGATATATTGTTCCTTGCTGGGCTTACTAGACAATGCCACAAGGGAGTTTTAAGTCTCTATTTAATAGCAGCAATATTTCATCTCCATTTCTGACAGCAGATTTACAATTGCCAATCATGAAATATTGTAAGCGGCAATTCAAGATTGTAATGATTAATGAAGGTCTTATTCGGTCAAATAATCCGTGCAATATTTACAGTCTCACTAAACATGAATGCATGGGGAGCAAATTAATATTTAATGCAACAAGCTGTTATTTAGTTTGACCCCAAGCATCTTTCTTTGATGAGTAGAGTCATTTTATGTTTGAAGAGTAAAATTGTAAAAAGTTAGGGTGCGTTAAATTTAAAATAGGTTTGCAGAGCCTGAAATAACGGTCAAAATTGTCCAGAAAAATGTCCAACCAAAATGTAATTTGATCGGACATTTTGGAATTTGGTCAGATGTTTTTTCTATTTCATTTTGACTCCCAATCTCCTTCAAGCACTAATTAACAATTATTCGCCGAAGGCGAGGTGATTATCGGTGAATAAAAACCGAGACGAAGTCGAGGTTTTTATTCACGATAATCACCGAGCCTGAGGTGAATAATTGTTTTAGTATAATTTCAGTGGTGATTATTTGGAAAAAAATAAGAAAATACACATTTCTTCGTCATTTAATTGACAAAAAGGCTTCGGCCGCCATTTTGAAAATCGCTTAGGTGATTATCGCGTAATAATCACCTCAACGGCAACCAATCAGCGTGGAGAATTTTCAATAATCACCTATGTAATTATACTAACAGTAAATAATACTTCGAGCTATGTTTACGCTGTGATATATTGGGGCTGAGCCGAATTTGTCAACTCATCCACACATGTCAAGTTGACCTTCCACATCTACAAAAATCTTTCACAAACCTGAAGCCCTGCAGTGACTTCTATAATGTATTTCCATGTTTGCTGTATACAGCTATTTCAATTAAGGTTGTCCACGAGCAAAGCGGAAAAGTCGAATACGAGCGCGAAAGGCTGCTGGGAATCGCTAAAAAATTAATGAATTTTCATAGCAATTCCCAGCAGCCTTTCGCGCTTGTATTCGACTTTTCTGCTTTGCTCGTGGACAACCTTAATTGAAATAGCTGTATATACATTTTGAGTAAATGATGCAGCAATACACCCTAATCCTTCTTGTATAATTCTTTAACCTAAATTAAGCTGCAATATGTGCCCAAATGTATTTGCTCTTCATGTATTTGCTCTGTCTAATGGCTATGTTACATATGTGGCAATTTTTGCTGCAACTTGCAATGCAGTTTGGATACTGGTCATCAGGCCATGTGATCTAAAAGGTAGTTGTAGGGAAATGCGAGCATGGCCCACTTAAGGAGAATTTAAGTGGTTATTACTCCAGCTGTCAGAGCCATGCCCGAGGTTTTAAATGGAGATTTTTGAATTTCTTTGTATTTTTGGGTGTCACAAATGTGACATTTCATCAAGGTATTGCAGGCTCGGGGTGCAGCAACTTATCTAAAATGTGGCCAATTAATCATCATATTAACTATGTAAATAACATCACACTTTCATCGTCATACTAACTAAAGTTGGGCAGTATACTGGTATTCTTAGTTATTCATGGTATTTAGTTGATACCGGTATGGCGGTGTTGGCAGCGGCGCGGCCGATCACATGGAAACAACAATCATTAAAATGGATAATTTTCTTGATTTTGTCTTGAATTTATAGGTTATTGCGTATAAACTGCATTTATTGTAGGTCACACATTTCATTAAAAGATTTTAACAGTGTACCGCAATATTTTAAAAATACTGTAACCGGTATTGAAATTTCAATACCGTCCAACTTTAATACTAACTAACAAGTTTGTATTTACAGTACATACCTATAATAGATTGGTGGTGCAATGATTGTGGGACATTTTTTGTCTATTAGTTGATATGCACGTGCACAGTTCTGAACTTCAGTCCATCCAATGGTTTTGATCAAATACTCACTAGATTTTTATAAATTATATCATGGAAATTAATCATCAAAGCAAGGGGATTTAAAACATTCATGTTTTGATACAAATATTGGACAAAAATCATACTTGAAGTCTTGAACATACTTGAAAAATGATACTTGAAGTCTTGAAACATTTTTAGTGTATTGACGTTATAGAAACATATTTTATAATTTAGTAAATACAACCTTGAAGGTGTATTCTGTAATTCAAAGTATCAGAAACTCAAAGTGTTTCAAATCGCTACTATTTTGCAAGATCTATAGTTTGGTATGCGGTTTGCTGGCTACAAAATTATCTTTAAGTGTCACATCTGTAGTTTCTTTGTCTTCTTTGTATTTCATGGTCAAATTGTTTTTAAGGAGGTAGTATTATATGAAGTGTGTATAATTTTCTTACAGTTAATATTTTTACAGTTAATTGAGAAATTTAAAACTTTGCCTAAAACATATTATTAAATTATCTTTAAAACAAAAATAAACTAGTGTATGGCATTACAAAGTTTGTAAAAAACTAAATATGAGGTATGGTTGTCATAGTTGAATTTTAATACTCAAAATGTGGACATTCTTTTGTTTCAGCCTCCAATGGGTGAGAGCAGAGTAAAAATAATCAAACAAGCATTTGCAAAATTGGACAAAACGGGAGATGGAGTAGTTACTGTTGATGATCTGAAAGGGTAAGGCCAGAACTAAATTGATACAGTCAGTAGTGTGAGAATTCACACTAACTCTACAGATACAGTAGATCAGAGTGTACTTGCTTAAACATACAAATTTTAACACAATAAAAATATTTTCATTTTCCAATGATATATAACTGTTCTGGGATGAAAAATTTTTTCATATGACAGTTTGACAACTAATACTTCATTGTCAAAATTTAGACTTGCTTATTTGTCTTAATCCTCCTTTTCATTCCTTTGCTATATGTTATATTATTAATATTGCAGCGTATACAATGCCAGAAAACATCCAAAGTTTATGAATGGCGAATGGAATGAAGCAGAATGTTTTAAACATTTCCTGAGCACCTTTGAAGCCCCAGAAGAGAAGGATGGAAAGGTAAATCTATTCTACTATTATATACTGTACATTAATTTTATAGTTAAATTAAATATACTTATACTAGAACATATTCCTGTATTTACGGTTGCCATAGAGTATTTTAATTAAACACAACACAACACAACACAATAGACACTCCATAAATTGTTAACATTTTAATTCTTTATGATTCAACTATTTATTTACAGTCATCTTCACTCTTCAAGAGAATTTCACGTATTTAGAAAAGCCAACTATTTATAATTTTAAAACGCAAGCCTTTAGAACTGACAAGTTCTTACTTCGTTAGAAGACTTAGAAGTGTACATGTAAAACTGTGGAGCATACAAATAGTTCACTTTTTTAGCATGTAGCATTCTCTTAAAGAGGACTGTAAAAATAAATAGTCCAAGCGTAGAGAATTAAAATGTTAACAATTTACGGAGTGTCTAATGCTTTCAATTTAATTACTTGTATTTGCCATCGACGTCAAAAAGTTCCTCCAAGTGTAGAGCCTAAAATTAACTGTACTTAAATTGTTCCAGGTGACAGCTGAAGAATTTCTGAATTATTACAGTGGAGTGAGCGCATCGATAGATGAGGATGTTTACTTTGATTTGATGATGAGAAACGCCTGGAAATTGTAAACCAAGAGGTTTTGAAGAAAAGAGTTTTAGAAAACAGATTTCTCAACGTAGTTACACTCTAAAAAACACTTTGGTTAAAATTTTCCTGGTTAACCTAGAAATAACCCTATTTTTGATAACTCCTGGTTAAGTTTCCTGGTTATTTTCACATTTTCCTATGGTAGAAAATTTAGTTTCAGTTTAACCAGGAATATATTAGTTTACCCCTAACGTAGCCTGCGTGGCAGGCGGTTTTTAGGGAGGCGAAGGAAAAAACGCAGGCTAACCCCTAATATAGTGGTATTTCTAGGTTAAACATGCAGGAAATTTTAACCAGAGCGTTTGGAGATAGTACATTTGAATTAAAAAAGTATGGACAAAGTGGGTTAAGCAAAGTTAAGTTTGTCTATTTTTGATGACGCTAATTGGTCCGATGATTCTGGTTGATCTGATGATGGTTCTGATGATAATCAGACGATTATACATTTATAGCCATAGCCGTGCATGTCCTACGTTTTTAACATTAATACATATCAATGTATAATACTGTTTTTGGCTGGTAGCCTTATTTTCGTGCTGCACAAGGTTACGTGGCTAAGAACATTTGTTATCCGAACAATTTTAATACCTTCCAGCGTAAGATGTAAAGGATTTGATTCGAGGAACATATTTGAGTAGATGTTTTAATAGAATCAAATTTTTAAAACTTGCAACTTAGTAATTTAATAGGCAAACTGAATTTAACTTAATGAATGTTGTTTATATCGTAATGTTACAAAGTGTATAAGTCATTGTTTTATTAAACATTTTTTAACATCCAGTGTATTGCAGAGTTATATAGATCTAAACAGCTGTAAATGTTGTTTTTTACATCCTATTTTATTGTAAATGTCCATTAGCAGGGCCTGCATGCCTTAAAATATCGGTCGGTCACGGACATTGCCCGACGCAGAAAGGAAACCACACCTAAGTGAAACTGAGGTTTTTTAATAGTTTGTCCGACCCGATTGTATTGCCTATTGGTGCATGTCCGCGACGTAAATCAAAATATACCCTACTCCCTAGTAATGTATAAAAAGTGAACCGGAATTCATGTTTTAATGTAATCGAGCGCGGGGCGGCGAGCGAAATGGTGAAGTGGAAAATGGGCCTAAAGGCCGAGACGCACCAGACGCGATTCGACAACGCGGCGCGATTTTTCGATTTTCATTTAACAAATATAAAACATTTTCCGTGTTGATAAACAGTTATATCAACACGAGTGGAAATTGGGAAATCAATTTCGAGTTTTCCCAATTTCCACTTGATATAACTGTATATCAATACGGAAAAAATGTTTTATATTTGTTTTATAATATAGCACAAAGAAACAAAGAAATAAATTTTCCGACGTTTCCGTGTTGACATTGAGTTATATCAACACGGCTCTTAGCCAATCAGCGTTCAGAATTTACAAATGCTATATTATAATGACCGATATAACTTTGATAATAATAGATAATCAGTAATGCTCGTTTTTGGAAAAAATAATCAGTAATGCTCGTTTTTGGACAGACTCGATTAAATTTGTTAGATTTTGGGTTAAGTCCGACCACACAGGTGATGCATACTCAATACAAGACCTAACCAAAGAGCAATACATTTTAAGAAGATAATGTTGAACCAGCTTTCTTTAATTAATTGAGTCTCAAAGCATAAAGACGGGAATTTGCTTTCTTGAGAATATAATCCACTTGTCTGTTCCAGGTAAGATCTTGCGAGATGATATAACGCCTAATAACTTGTAACGACAAACTCTTTCAACCGGGCTTCCAGAAATATATATGGAATCTATACACTGCAAGTCATATTTAAGGAATGATACTATACAATTACTTTATGGTTTCCGTGTTTGGATGGCCTGATCCAAACACGCGGGAATGTTGCGAGAGTTAAGAAAAGCGAGCGAAACACGAGCCGAAGGCGAGTGATTTTGCCCGCTTTTCTTAACTCGAGCAACATTCCCAAGTGTTTGGATCAGTCCATCCAAACACAGAAACCATAAAGTAATTGTTTTATAAAATAACAACAACACGGTAGTCTTCCGTGTTTGGATGGCCTGATCCAAACACGGCTTTCGACCAATCAGAATACGCGTTATATACATGTTATTTTATAAAACCATTTCCTTACAAATTCTTTGGGTCGTGCACGTAGTTTTCTGCAGGTGACACATGTCCGCGTAAGATGCCTGGCAGTTTTTCGTAATCCAATGATCCAATACTTTCGACGAGCTTCGTGGATCAATCTTTGGTACCCACAATGTTCTGAAATTTCATGAAGGTGTTTCAGGAGTAAAACAACTAGAGGATGGTTACGAGGTAAAATAATTGGATTCCGCATGTCACGAGGTAGGGTGCGTCATCTACTTTCGCTAGCAATTTCTTGTCTATCTTGCTCGGGTCCTGTTCTGTCTGCGCCCACTTGAAAAACAGCTTTTCGGACTCTTCAATTTCTTTCACAGATAGTAATCCGGATTCTTCTGCTTTGTCTTTAAATAATGCGTAAAACGTAGAACAAAGGCTAATACTCGTCGTGCCCTTCGAAATGTCGAACATGTTTGTAGTATGTGTTCAAAGACAGAATTTCTCGCTGGTTGTTTGGAACTCGCGTTACATTGGATTTCTTCTATGTCCCTTATCGGTTTCTTGACTTTTTTGTACTCCGTTTCACTTATTTCTCCTCCGTTTCACTTATTTCTCCAGTAGGCTCGTTAAAGACAAGATAGTCATCATCAACCTCGTTCCCAGGCTCTTTGCTCTTGGGAAGCAAAGACCCTGGTCGGGGTAGCCTGCGAACAGGCTCTCAAGCTGAATTGAGAGCCTGCATCGATGACTAATGAATTTGAATATCTGCGTCTCAAATCGTGACGCGAAATTCTCATTGGTCAGATGCTATAATTTATCAGTAATTTATATGTTTCCGCTGAGCTCTATATATGTCAAGTTGAAGCACTGTGCATAAAAAACGCATTATCTGATCAAATTGGTCTTGGCTATCTTATCTCAAAGCACGAAATGTTCTGTTTTGAGAAAACAGTATTTAAAACATTTGAATATTTGCTTGAATATCTTATATTTCGAAAAACAGTATAAACTGTACGGTCTAAATTTAGTTTGCACGGTCTAAATTTAGTTTGCACGAAAGTTGTAAACAACACCATATAAGGATAGACATTCCATATTTGGAAAAACGAACGTTACGGGGCAGATATTCAAATTCATTAGTCATCGATGCAGGCTCTCAATTCAGCTTGAGAGCCTGTTCGCAGGCTACGGCTGGTCACGTGCCTCCCAGATTCTGGGAGGTAAATTTAATTGTAACTGTGAGAGGGGTGGGAAAGGAGCGTGTTTGTAG